AGCTACCCGCTGTCTCCCTCGGGCTGTGAGCCCTTTGTCCCCTGGGCCCAGGCATCATGTACACGAGTGCAGGGGACAGTGGAGGCCCTCAGTAAATGTCTGTTAATATGGGATAAGCCACGTAGAGGGACAGGCTCAGGGCAACTGAGACACTACAGTGGCTGCACTGTCTAGTATGTGTGCTTGGAAGAGGCTGGTGGACAGACGAGGGACCCCAATAGAAGGCAGAGGCAGAGGGACCTGCCAGAGTCTCGGGCAGCATGCTGACGTGAATCCTGCGGGTGTTGGGGAGCTCTGGGAAGGTCTTCAGCAGAGCAGCGAGGAGAAAAGACGCCCACCAAGCTTCTGAGTGGCAGATGGACGGTAGGGGTGGGGAAGAGGAGGAGCAGGCAGAATCCGATGGCCATTGTTACAGCTGCCCAGGTGTCAGATGACCCGGACCAAGGGAAGGAGAGGATGCACCTGAACCATTCACATGCCGCGGCACAGACAGCATCTGGTTGGTAACCGGACGGAGCTAGACCCTGAGCTGGGCAGTCTGGCAGACGGGAGGGCTTAGTGTTGGGATGAACAGGCAACGTGGGATTGCATTAGGACACACTGAGTGCGAGGTGTAGGGTGTTCACAGACCGTCCAAAAAGCACTGGGGTCCCCTACCTGACTACAGGAGGGAGGCCTTGGGTTGGGAGCCACTCACATAGAGTTGGAAACCGAGGCCACAGAAGTACATGGAGTCATCAGAAGAAGGGTGAGAAAGAGCTCCCAAGGAGAGAGAGAGGTTGGCCAAGGCCTCCAAAGCCACCGCTTGCTTCACAGGCTGTGGTACAGCTGCCTCCTGGTGAGCCACTCCCGATGGACCCACATCCACAGCGCTGGCGCCAGATGCTCCAACGGGGCTGGGTCCGGCCGAGAAAGTAGGAGTGAGGATGTCTCAGGGCTGCCATGTGTGTGTGGGGTGTTCTTATGGGAACCCAAGAGGAGGCTCCAGGAGTTGTAGCTCAGTAGTAGAGCATTTGCTTAGCCTGTGTGAGAGCCTGGGTTCAGTCCCAAGCATGCAAACAAACAAACAAAACAAAACGGGAAGATTCTGCCAGCAATGTTCGGAGTGACAATGCGGAAGGAACTGTCCGTTTAGCAGTAGTGGATTTCAGGCGCGGCAATGTCATCTGGGGGACTGTCTTCCAAGAAGACATCTCACAACCGATCTGAGGCAGGCACACAGAAGGGGTCAGCGCAGTGCGATGTTAGCTCCTTCCATGTTCACGGAGCCTCTAGCTCAATTCCCCTCCCCCCTCACCGGTACCAGGGATCGAACTCAAGACCTTGAGCTTGTCAGGCACACGTGGCCCCACGGAGCTACATCCCCGGCCCCTTTCCCTCCCTTTCACACATGAAGAAACTGAAGCTGGAGAGCTGCCCAGTAGGACCAGGGATGTATAGTCGAGTAAAAGGATCCGAAAGGATACCTGAATATAAACTATATTTTCCCGGGGACCAGGGCCAGTGGCTTTCCGTAATACATTTTGATTTTAGGATTACATCTATATCTCTATATATTTTACATATGTCATTACCTATATTATATATATTTCATACATATATTTTAATACATATATTTACAAGAGACTGCATTACTTGGAAGAAATTTATTTTTTTCTGTTGACATTTTGATTTGTGGGTTTTTATTTGTTTTAAAACTTTTCATTAGTACACAAATTCACGTTAATACGTAAGAAGTTCATTCATTGTGGAGTTGGTACATGAACAAACTTTTTTTTTTTTTTTTTGCCAGTAGCTTGCAAAAAATTTTAAAATAAAAGTATTTCTGTTTGTTTGTTTGTGTTTTGAGACAGGGTCTCACTATGTAGTTGAGACTTAACCTGGAACTCACTATGTAGCCCAGGCTGGTCTCGAACTCACAGGGATCCTCCTGCCTCAGCCTCCCGAGTGCTGGGATTACAGGCGTGCACCACCATACCCAGCTAAGGTATTTCCATTTTGAAAATTGGCAGCCTGGCTGGAGGAGGGAAAGGCAGCTCATCTGAACCAAGTCCCACCTCACAGTGTGGCTGAGGGAGGCAAACTGCCCTCTGAACTTCAGTGTCCTAAGTGGGGCAGGGGTAGCAGACGCCTGGAGCAGAGTTAGGAAGTGAGCGTGGGCTGCATAGCTGAGCACAGATGGGGAAGGCTGGGCCACCCTCCAGGAGGGACTTTCGAGGATCTAGAAGTGTCTTCCCTCTGAGCCCCTCCGGGGCGGGGTGCTGGAGCAGAGATGGGGAGACCCCTCACTGGAGCGTTTCAGCGAGACCTCAGCTTACTGGCTCACAGGATCACATCCAAACTGTCAGCCTGACATCCTGGTCCTACGCTCTGGTCCTTTGGCTGGGGGCATGGATGCCAAGGGTACTGGGGCCACTGAGAGGGTGCAGTGTTCTTTTTTTTTGTATGGTACCAGGGATTGAACTAGGACCTTGCAGTTACGAGGTAGGCGTAGTGCCACTGAGCTGAATCTCCAGCCCTAGAGATTGCAGTGTTCATTGATAATTCAGAGCACACCTATGACCAACAGCCCCTCCCAGGGCAGCCTGCTGGCCCCATGTGACAGAGGGGGAAACTGAGGCTCGGTAACTTATGAAAGCACTAAATGACAAAGCCAGAACTAAGAGCAAGCAAGCTCTTTCTGCTATATCGCCTCGTCCAGGCAAAAGTCACCCTTCCTCATGCCAGGTCTGAGTGGCCCCAAAGCAGTTCTAAAGGGGAGGTGAGTAGTGATCACAGGGTCGACACTTTCATCTTCATTAGCTCCCAAATACTGAGAACTCCAGCGATGAGCTGTGGGAGTTGTAGTTTCATTCTCTATTTAAAATATATGAAAGATGTTAAGAAGGATGACTATGCCCTCATTTTCACAAGGACATCTAAAGGGTCTTACAGAGTGCCGAACGCTTGCTATACACAGTGCATACCCACCTCCTCTCTGCCGTTGGACTTCATGAGATGCCTGGACTACAAACCCTCCTCCGCCATTCCCAAGCTGGGCGATCTCAAGACAAGTGACTTCTACCTGAGCCTCAGTCACCTAAAACAATGCAGGTATAGCCATGCTCGCACCGTCCTGCTGCGACAGACCACGGTGTGAGGCACGCAGAGCCCTCTGCGCGAGCCTGGTGTTCAGTGTTAGCTTATCTGGTGGTTATCGTGATCTTTCTGGATCTTTCTACGTCCCCCCCGGCGGAGGAAGCGGGACCCGTCAGTGCAGACACCTGCAGGAGCATCCTCCCATGCCTCCGACTCGGGCTGCCCAATTCTCCTATTCTACATCCCACAGAACGCAGGCACAGATGGGGACAGACCGGCCCCGGGGCCGCAGCACGGCGGACACTGCTCCCACCTTCTCTGCGCCACATGGGAAAGCAGGCTCCTCTGGCTCTGCTTTCATTACCACCTACCTGGTGAGACGTCACAAGCGTCTCTGTCTGCAGCAGTACAGGGACCCTAAAATGGGTCACCCAGATTCCTCCATCAGAGCAAAGCCAGAAGTCCCTTTAGCTGCGGCCAGGCCCAGGATCCCCTTTGAGCATCGTTCCCCAGGTTAATCACTGCCTCCCTCAATGCTGGAACACGACGGGACATAGCCCTCTCACGCCGGGTGACCAGAGGGCAGGAAGGGAAAGGGGAGGCGGGCATCCTTGGTCCACATGTGCCTGAGCAAGAAGCAGGGACTCGAGCAGCTCGAGGTGGCAGCTGGGAACAGGGCTCTGTTGTCTCTGCTCCCAGGGTAACAGCCTGCCCACCACCGAGTGTCAGGCAGAGCTGGGAGCCAGGGAGGCCAGGGGGAGGGGTTTGGGGCAGTGCAGGCAGATCCAAGGGGCTAGGACCCCAGGGGGGCAGGGAGAGCCTGGGTAGGGCGTGAGGTAGGTCCCGAAGTAAGGGTCCTAGGCAAGACTCCTGTGATTTGGAATCAACCCACCCACCTCTGACCTTCATGACCTTGGTCAAGTCACTGAATCTCCTTGAGCCTCAGGTTGCCCCTCTGGATGATGAGGATAAGCAGTAATGGTCCCTCTCTCTCTCTCTCTCTCTCTTAGTAGCGATGGTCTTTTGCAGGGCAAGGTGTGGAGCAGCTTAGAGGCTGTCCTGGCCTAGGTGTGCCTGAGCCGTACTCCCTGTGTGGCCGTGGACAAGCCTCGCCTCTGGGCCTCAGATCACCACCTCAGTACAGAAAACTTGGATTCTCCTAACTGGACCTTCCTCCACAGGCTTTCCGCGGCACCCGTCACCGTGGCAATCCCAGAGATCAGGTGTTAGGCCCGTGGCTGTGTTTCCCTCTCTCCCTCCCTCCGGTGTCAGCTGCCTCAGCCAGATGTGGGCCGTCCACCTCTCCTCCTCTGAGAGCTGGGAGCTGGGGGGAGGCATCCCCAATGGGAGGGGCACACAGCTGGGCTCTGCGTTCAGAACAAGCTGGACCTCCTTCCTGCCACGGACCCAGGAAACAGAAGTGTAGGGTTCCAGATGGGACCCTTCTAGGCACCAGGCTTTGCCCCACACCCAAAAGCCCGTCGTTGGTGGCTTTGGCCCCTCAGGGGCACATGCCAGGACCTTCCTCAAACGGAGGGATTGTCCCTTACCACGGTCCCCAGGCCCTGCTCTGACAGACCCTCAAGAGAGGGCTGGCGGGGAACGAGCTCCCTGCCCCCGTTCACTAGGGTTTGGCCTCTGCCCAAGATTAATCATTAATAGACTCACAGCTCCAGCCCAGCCAGTAGCCTGCCTCAGCCCCACCCTCCACACCTCTGGGGACGAGGGGCACTGGGAAAACCCAAAGACAGGACCAGCATCAACCTGTGCCTTCCCTGCTGCCCCGCTCAGGTGCAGGGATGCTGTGCACCTATCTCAGTCAGCGGTCCAGAGCCCCGGCCACCACTGAGGAGGTAAGGGCAGACCCTCAGAATAGAGGAGTCAAGACACAAGGCAGCAGTGAACTGGCCCTTGGGACATACCTCGGCCTGGTTCTCCTCAGGCTCAGCGTGGTTGGTTCTGGGCGCGCCAGCGGGGCGCTCGCTCACTGGGCAGTGGGGTGCACCCGCCAGACCCCTGCCGTCCTCCAGGCCTGGTCCATGCCCCCGCCCCTCTGCTGCCGCCACAGCGGCCTCCTTGCCGGCTCCAGCTCCCAGCCAGGTGCGGTCACCAACCCAGCCCAACCCCCTGCACTTTGGCCAATGGGCGCTGTAGGCCCTGGTCCCCTCCCGCCTAGTCCTGGCTCCTGAGCGCCTCCCCAGAGGCACAGAAGCCGCATTCAGAACGCAGGGGCGGACAGCCTCGCCCCCACTGCCAGCCCAACAAGGCCCATTTGTCCGGATGAGCCAACAGAACCATTGTCCTGTGGGCGGCCCTTTGGCTCAGCGGAACCCCCAGCCTCAGAGGGGACTGGAGGATGCCCGGAGCTTGATGATGGTGCCCTGGGCCTGGGTGATGGGAGACTAGTTTTTTACTGGGGCGCTGGTGCCCTCAGGGAGGCCTGACTCGCTCTAGTCTGTGTAAACAGAGCGGGATCCATTTTTGGAAACAGGCAGGGTGGGGTGAGGCAGTGTTGGTGAGGGGCAGCCAGGATCCCCCAGCGGAGCTCAGGGAAGGAACTCAGCTCCAAGAGATTTCAAACTCTGCGCTGACCCCTCTCCAGGGTCCATCAGGGCTGAGAGCAGGCAGGGCCACCACGATGTGGACAGGCCCTGGGTTTCCCCTCCTCCTGGGGGAGCAGGACCAGGGGTGGCTACTGTCTGTGAGGGAGGAATTCTTAGCTCCAGATGTGGGCGGTACAGAAGCAGCTGGCTGCCAATAGGGCGCGGGCCACGTCACAGCCCTGGTGCCCCCGACATGCTGGGCTCTTCTGGAATGAGGAAAATTCCGCATCAGTGTGGCCGCCAGGCACTTTTCCATATCTGATGGGGCTGCTTTGACCTTGTGGCCTGGGATACAAATGCTCCCGGGCAGGCCTGAGTCATCCCCTGAGGCTGCAAGCTCTGGATCCAGGAGTCCTGACCTCTGTCCCTGCTTCCAGAGACAACTGGCACTGCCAGCCTGGGCGCGAGGCACAGCCCTCTTCCCCCAGTGGGGTCCTACTGGGGCCCGGGGTTCTCTGCTCCCAGGCCGGTTCCCTCCACCTCTCCACCTGCAGAGCCGGTGCACAATGACTGGCAGAAGGTCAAGGCTTTCGGGTGCCTGGATTCAGGGAAAGCAGAGCCCGGTCCCAATCCAGCCTTCCCACCTGGGCCCTGCTCGAGGCAGCACTCGGCTACATCACCAGAGCAGCCCTGGGGGAAGGTGGGGGAGTGGGGAGCGCACATCCCACGACCCAGGTTCCAGCCCTGGCTCTGCCACGGTGCAGTCCCAGGCAAAGGATGACCCCGCGTAGCAGCAGGCACCGCCAGGACAGGTGCAAAGTAGAAGGCAGGACTGCACCAGTCCGACAGCTGTGGCACTGGAGGTTACTCGGGTCTGCCCACCAGCCTACAACGCTAGGAGTGCACCTGCCCTGGAGCCCCTCAGGTCCCCAGCCACTTTTATCTTCTTGGCTAGCTCCAGCAGGAGCTGGCCACTTGATGAGCGACATGCTGAGTCTCTGTACGGTCTGCCATCACTGACCCCTCACAGCCTTTCAGGAAGCTCCTAACCCACCCTCACATCCACAACTGGGAGGAAGCAGGTTCACAGAGGGACAATGACTGGGCCGGAATGTGGGCGAAGATCAGCGCAAACACGAAGGCCACTCCCAGAAGCTCTGCGCCTCTCTGGCGTCTCTGCTCCCGGAGGTGTCCCCGGACACGCAGAGCGCCCTGAATCAGCCCGGGTCTACTCTGGTACACAGCTGGCTAGGCACAGCTCACGGTACGGGACACCAGGCAGCACTCCTCCGGCCCAGGAAGGCACCTCAACACAGACTCCAAACGCTGCACAAGTCCAGCCCTTTAATAACAGAAGCTTCCCCACCCTCGCCCCATCAAGCACCCTCACAATGGCAGGTCCAGTCGTGTGGGTGGGGCTACTGGAAAGCCAGGGTGGACGGAGGCAGCAGGTGCGGGGCCTGTCGGGTGCCTGCTCCCACGTCACCGACTCGTGAACACGCACAAGGCCTCCTCTCTGCCCGGCCACCCGCAGGGAGCTCCACCCACGGGAGCCGGACGGCCGGAGGGAGGGAGGGGATGACAACAGAAGCGACTGGCCCGCCACCGAGCGTGGGTCTGCTGGCCTGTCTCTGCCACGTCCAGCTGCCAGGAGGGCCACAAGCACTCACACAGGCCTTGTCTTCTTTGCCTTCTTCTCAGACCTCAGAGCCTCGTCATGAGCTTTCCGCTTCTGTGCCAGTTTGTTGGCCTGTGAAGGACAAAGAGGAAATCAGGCCAGGTGCGAGACGGGGCGTGGGGGAGGGGAGGGCACGAAAGAGAATCTTTACTCTTCGACCCAACTCATTTCTTAAAAACAGAGGGGGCATAAAGCGGGGGTAGAATAAAATAAAATTTAATTTAAAAAAAGAGCAGAGCTTCCAGAAAAGCTAACCATCAGACATACCCTCTCCTGCACTATGGCGCTTTTATTTTATGGGCTCACAAACCTCCAGTTACGATCACCCTTGGCTCCCAGAGATGAAAGAACCTCACTGAGCAATTGCCCCATTGACTAGGCCCGCTCAGGAAGGCTGGATGCTATTCAAACCATCACCAGGAACTGGCAGGGAGGGCGAGAGGGTAGGACTTCCCAGGCCACTAGGCAGTATCTACTTTAGAATTGTAGCCATCACACACCCAAGAGTTACCCAAGGTGGGAAGGGACGCGCTCAAGGGTGTCAGCTCTGTGAATGACTAACCCTCTCAGCAGAGGACAGGTCACGAATTGTACAAGGTCTTGAAACACACTTCCGAATAATCTACGAAAAGCATGACAGTCTCCAAATAATGCTACTATTTCACAAGGGAAACTGGAGGACGACTCCTACGGATTACCCCAAAGGTAGGACCGAGAGCCACCTCTGGGCATCCATTACAGATTTGTTGGTTCCACGTTTTGTTTTTTAAACGAGCACATGTGGCTTTGTGAACAATGACCACAGAAACACAGAAGTTTAGCAAAAGCCCCCCAATTCTGCCAGAATGACTCGTGAGGCTGAGAAACAGCGGGGTGCAAGAAGGGGACAAAAGCCCCACGGAAGGCATGGATGGGCCAAGAAGGAAAGACCTCGGGAAAGGACGAGGACAAAGTCTACCCAAGGCCAGTGCCGCCCCCACTTCACCCCCCCCGAGTTCACGCACAGCACAGCCTCGTCTGGGGGCTAAGCCAGTCTCGGAGCAGCGACGGGAACTCACCTCTCGGATTTTGCGCCTCTTGCCGAACATGATCTTCTGGTAAAGGTACTTCTCCCGCTTCTTCATCATCATGATGGCCAGGCGCTTGGCCTCACTGTCCTCCTCCTGGGCCAGCCGCTGCTTGTCCTCCAGCTTCACGGTACCCGCCATCACCCTGGGTTTCTGGGGACACAGAGCAGGTGCCTGTGGGCGCCGGTTCCCTGGCTGCTGCCTTGAACTACAAGTACAAGGGCTGCCGGTTGAGCGGGCAACGCCGCCATACCTTCTCCTGCATCCTCTGCTCCTCCAGGGCTGCCAGGTGGGCCTCTTCCTCCTCCTCTGAAGCAGCCACTACGTCTTCCTCCTCCTCATTTTCTCCCCCTTCATCACCACCCCCTTCACTGTCTTTTTCGTCGTCGTCTTCCTCCTCCTCCTCCTCTTCTGAAGCTTTTGCGTTTCCTAAGGGGAGTCAGTGACGGCTGAGTGCCCTGGGCACCCGCTCTTTCCCTCGCAGGGTGAACGCTGGCCCAGACACCTCTCTCAGACTCCGATATCCTCAGACACAACACAGGCGGTTCAAGGCGGTACCCACCGTATCCCCTCGGGCCTCTCCCCCAGGCACAGCTGCCTTCGTGGGACCCTCCAAGGTTCCCTGCCCCCTCCGGAGTTCTGTTGTCTCTATCTGAACGTGGATGACTGCTCCAGACTGTTCCGCTCTTTTCTGTCTAGTGACTGTGAATGTCAACATCACCTGACTGTAAGATGCAAATGCTTCCTTGCCCACCATCAAGCCTTACTCCAAAGGTGGTTTGAAGGGGTTTCCCCTGCTGCTGCCCTACTTCCTGGAGTTTACAACTCTGTAGCCAAGCAGCCTGTCCACCCTGGTGCTGGCCCCCTCCCACTCACCTGGGTCCTCTCCCCGCTGCAGAGCCAGCAGCTTCAGCTTCTCCGGTGGGATGTAATCTCCTTCCTTCTCAGACACAAAGGGTGAAAGGTGCGGAGGCAGCTGCACCCCAGGGAAGTACTCTGCCACAGGGAGGAGCAGCCGGGCATTGACACAGTCAAATACCCACTGGGGCTGCACGTAGTACCTGGTGTAGAACGGCCAGCAAACGCAGGTCACGAGGGGCTAACTGGAGTCCCACAGCGCAGCAAAGGCCTCTGGGACAGACCTCTTCCAAAAATGCACGTGACGGCCTTGGGCCTACCTGCCAATAACGGGGGTTTGCTGTCCAGGCCGGTCAACAATCTGGTGGGTGATGTGGGAGTCTGTGACATCATAGGTGGCTCCAATGCACAAAGATCTGTCCCAGGACACGTTCCCCCCAAAACTCCTACAGGCACAGGACGACAAAGGTCGTCCAGGCATGAGCAGCTAGGACCCAACTCTTTGTGATCTGCTGGTCACCCAGCCCACAGATTCACCCTTTTAGGAGGGTGCCCAACCCCACCCTGGACTCTCCAGTCTGTGCCATCACCTTCAGTACCAACCCAGTAGGGACCCAACGGCAGCCCTGCCCATGGTTGAGTGTTCCTTAGATTCTTGGGCCAGGCCACGTAGGGAAAGAGATGCCAGGTTACTCAGAGGTACCCATGGCAGGACCCAGACTGGCACACAGCGAATAACACGGGTCAGCCACAGAGCCTGCCCACCTGATGATGAAGGCCAGGGCCTCGCGGGGCACCTCGCGGTTCAGGAAGAACTTCAGGCCCTCAAAAAGCTTCTTATGCTTTTCTTGTGCCTCCAGCTCTTTCCTGCGGTCCTCTTCCTGCTCTGCCATCTCCTGCCGAGGCCAGGACTCATGTCACCAGGGTCATCCACCTCCCTGGGGGGCAGGGGCTAGAGATGACCCCCTCCCAAGCATCTTTCTAGACCTGGCCCCGTGCCCAGTCCCACCCCTTTCAGAAGGGCAGCACAGTGCTCACCCCATCAGCAGGAAACTCGTCAGCCTCAGCCTCCTCCTCCGCAGCGGGCACCATCACCCGTGCCAGGCTGGCACTGAGGGCTGCCAGTTTCTACAGGAGGAAAGCAAAGTTGCAGGGCTACCTATATTCAGGAGGGGACCCCGCAGACCAGCCCTGAGACCACCAACCTAGCCGAGTTGCCCTTACCCAAGGCTAGAAGCCC